AGTTTGACGGAGCTGTTCCAGATGGGTACATGGCAGCTGTTGGCGACTTGCAACACGTGCAGCTTGCCCACATCAATGACATGCAGGCTGCGGTCCTCGTAAGAGATATCGAGGACTGCAAAGCCGTCGCTGAAGGGCATAGCGCTCCGTAAAACCGGAGAAGCAAATCCGGTGAAGTTGATGTCGCAAACGGCCACGAAGTCCGGGGAACCGCATGATCTGCCGGTCTCCTCGTCGGCGAGCCAGAACGGGCCGGACATGGTGACGTTGCCGCATCTCTTGGCCGAGCTAGAGCAGCCTTCTCCTTGTTCGTCAGCCGCCGCGGCGACGAGCAGCAGTGGTAGCCACAGTGCCCGGAAGAACCTGCTGCTTGCAGACATTTTTGGATCGGTGGTCATGGGCTACCGGGACTTGGGGTGTGCGTGGTCGAAGGACGAACAATATATGGGGCGGCGGGCGAGCCGAGTACTAGTGGCCGGAACATTTGACTAGAAAACTGGGGCAAGTAATCCTGCACGAAGTTCCCGAACTGAACCCTTGGACTGGTAAGCAGTGACTTCTGAAATTTCCGTGTAACGGCTTTGACGCAGTAAGCCATGACCATGACCACCATGAGCCCGTGATGTGACTCGGGCCAGAATTCTGAAGACTAAAACCTCTAACCTTTTGTTGCACATTACCCCGAAATTACTATGCGTACGATACTTAGTGGTATGAAAATTGTATGTTGATGAATTCATTTCTACACTTAGGCATTACACCTTTTTTATCTTGTAATTGCATTAGCATTTGAAAAGCAACTTCTCAACCAACTTAGAGCCCATCCACTCCACCGAATCCGCTCCAGGTTTTCTGACTACGCAGAGCCCGTGGAGTTCGGTTTTAGCCACTCCGTGAAAAATGAACTGCCTGATGTTCTGCTCCGCTCTTTTGACTCTGTGGAGCCCGTGCACTTGGATGCCGCTCCCCGCTCCGGGAGCGCACTTGAGGAGTGGAGAGGATCCGAACAAGGCCTTAGAAACAACAAATCCGTAGATTGGATGTGTTTCCTATTCCAATGAATTACAACATACTTTGTAGGGTTTTAGTCATTAGAATTCTTTGTATAGAACATGTTGGAATCTAAGACCAGAATACTAAAGATAAATCCTCTAACTTTCTGTTGCACATTACACCGAAATTACTATGCATACGATACTTAGTGGTATGAAAATTGTATGTTGATGAATTCATTTCTACACTTAGGTATTACACCTTCTTTTTCTTGTAATAACATTAGCATTTGAAAAGCAACTTCTCAACCAACTTATCAGAAGCAGCAAATCCGTAGAATGGATGGGTTTTCTATTCAAATGAATTAGAACATATTTTGTAGGGTTTTAGTCATTAGAATTCTTTCTACAGAACATGTTTGAATCTAAAGACTGGATTCCTTCAACAACAAAAAAATGCCAGTCACCTTGTATACAATTCCAAAGCAAAATTCTCCTTGAGTCAATTTTTTTATTTATTTTTCAATTGAAAAGAGGTTAAACCATCTCTAGGCATTGAATCAATTGATCCACCTAATAAAGAACCCTAAATTTGTATGATTTTAACTAAACAATTTTTATCACTTATCCAAGTGTTTCGTTGTAGTAAACAATATTCCATGTCACATATTGTTTAAGCGGATACGTTTCAAGAGCCCCCGAAACATAAAGGACTTTGGCGATGCACGGCCCAGGCTTGAAACCCGGGTCACGGACTACACCTTACGGTGGATTCCCTTTGCTACAACTCGGAAACCCATGTTGCACTATTGCCCCATAGACCTAAAATGCATGGAAATCTTAGTTTCTCTTCGACTGGGAGTTAAGGGATGCCCTGCCAGAATAGAGGATACACTCAGGCGCTCAATTGTTGGGTTGTTATATCTTATTTAATTCACTATTGTGTTATTATTATTATTTTCCTTTTCATCAATTTTTTGTTTGACCTTTTCCTTTAGATTTTTTTGTTATTTAACTTTAACTTTATGTTTCTCCGTAAATCACTACCACCTTATCTTTTGAACTCTAGTTATGTACTTTACTGACGTTTTACTTTACTTTTGGGGTAAATAAATGATCATTATTTTCTAATGTACATGCACACTTCTTTTTGAAGACATAACCATGTGTATTCAAATACATGAATATATTTTTTATGAAATGCATAAACATCCCTTTTGAGGTACATGAAGATTTTTCTATTGCCATGACCATTCTTTCAAAAAAAACCTATCAACACATTTAACTTTGGACTACAAGAAATAGGTTTACTTTTGATATAATATTTTTATGCGGACTACAGCTTTTTCTTGATATATTAACTTGAATTTTTATATACCAACCACTAAATAACTAGAGTTCATGATTGGGAACGACAAGCGAAAAGTTAGCACCAAGGACAACCAAAAGAACACTCATTGGGTCCAAAAAATCCCCCAAAAATTGAATATAGGCCCATAAGGTGGGATTTCGAAAAGTTGCCACTGGGCTGTCAGTGGATCAGTAAACAAGTTCATGATTCATATTTGGCCGTAGTGCAGGCTTGGGAAGTTCGGAGTTCATCCAGTCAAAAAAAGAGAGAAAAAAACAAGAGAAATTCAGAGTTCAGACTAGGCAAAAGTACAGAGTACCTACTAGGCAGAGTTGAGAAGCTCAGTGTTCAGGCCAGAATTTATCTTGGCCCTAGAAGCCACTTGTTGTTCTGTACCACACCCCACTTCAACTTGTTAACGAACTTCTAATGATGCACATGGCTACGTCCTTACTGGGAGCACTGGTTTACATGCTTGCCACAACCGAAGTTTCTGGGACGTCATACGTAGGACTACACAATAGGCACTGATCGTAGCTAGTACTACAAACCTGAATGAAAGGTGATTTGACGGGTGAACTTACGTGTACGTGCAGGCGTATGAAGAGGTGCAGGTGCAGGGAGAGGCAGAGCTTGCGGCAAATCCCATGTCAAGAGGAAGCCATCGTTAATGAGCTGCTTGTAGTTGCTCATGTTCGCCTCGCCCGACAAGCCCATCACCGGCACGACGACAGCTTCACAGGCCTTCAAAGCGTACCCGCCGTAGTCCCCGGTCGCGTCGTAAGGTACTCCCGTGCGGACAAGCACCTTGCTCTCGTTCCGGCATCTCACTCCGGTCTTTACCAGGTCTCTATCCCGACGTGCCACAGTCGCCGCTGCGGCTGCGCCCTCCTCCGAGCAGTTGTACAAGATGAGGCTCAGGCCGACGGGATTGATCCTAAACGGTTGGGCCAGCTTGACGGAGGTGTTCAATATCGTTCCATGGCAGCTGTTGGAGGCTTGCAGTACTTCCAGATTGCCTTGATCAACGACGCGCAAACTGTTTTCCTTGTAAGAGATGTTGATGATTGCAAAGCCGAGGCCCGAGGCCGAGGGTATAGAGCTCCGTAGACCTGGAAAACTCTTGTTATGGCAGGCGACCTCGAAGTCCTGGGGGCCACATGATCTTTGCGCCTCACTGTTAGAGAGCCAGAATGGTTCGGAGATGTTGAAGTTGCCGCACCTCTTGGTCGAGCTCGAGCAGCCTTCCCCTTGCTGCTCCTCGGCCCCGGCGAGCATCGCTCGCAGCCACCAAACCGAGATGAAGACTAACAACCAGCTGCTCCGAGGCATCGGAGAATAAGATTTGAAAATGTTGCCGCGAATGAAAATGGAGGTGGCTGGATAGGTGATCGTGGGGATGAGAGAATAAGCACGAACCATAACATATAAGCGGACGCCGGCAAGCGAGCGGGGTATTATTGCGTAGGCCGGAACATTTGACTGGAAATTTGGACCAAGCGGTCATCCTCCACGAACTGGTGGTAAGCAATGACTTGTAAAATTTTCCGGGGTAAACCACTTTGACGGTAAATTGACGACTGGTCAGGAGAAAACGTAACCAAAACAAGCTTGTCAGCACGTGTCAATTTGACTAGTATAGGGGCTATGGTCAAGTCGCCCACCATATCTTGGGCATGCAAGCAGGAGGGAGGAAGTGACGCGCTGGCCGGATGCACTAACGTCTGCCAAACGATAAACTTCAGGCCTATCCTTGGTTACTATTGATTGATTATTTGATTGAGTGAAGGGATGCCCTGATAGAATACAGGATACACTCGGGAGCTCATTTTTTGTTTGGTCTTTTCCTTTAGACTTTTAGATATTCAATTTCAGTTCTTTGATTTTTACTTATTTTCACATTTCCTTTTTTCTAATCTTTGGCAAATTCACACATGGCAGGTAAAAATATATCCTATAAAATAAGTTTCATCTGCGTACACCGATCGATTATTGAGGTTGCGCAGTGCAAAATTCTTTCTTCTCAGGGGACAAGTCCATTTCACAGGTCCTCGTTTGGTTCTACTCATAGTGCTCGTTTTCCGTAGGCAGGCTCAGGCCCCACATTCCGGAGCGGGAGGGCATGGGGTCCTCTTCGGCGGCAACTTGGCGTGAGTGGCTAAACGAGGTCCGGCGATTTCTCTTGGCGGCGAGTCTCCTTCCTTGTTGATAGTCTAGGTTGCTCTGTGGTAGGGCGTGGACGCTCCTGCATTCTTATTGTATTTTTCTTGATTTGCTTTGTAAGAGGATCTTCTCATCATCATGTATCTGTTTGGTTGTGTTGCTTTATATATAAAGCGAGGTAAAAACCCTTCTTGGTAATTTCAACCTAGAGTTTACATTAATTTATTTTGCAGTGTTAGCTTTTGTATTGTGCGATTTGGCTGAGTTAGAAATAACAAAATTCTTCAAGGACTTAGGAGCATAAAATACATACAATGATTAGTGTCTTTCATGGCTTAATCTTTTTTATTCAAACGGATTTTTCCATAACTTTACGCTATCTCCGGGGGGACAAGACCATTGACTTATCATCATGGGCTAACACACCATAATTCAACTAAAATGGGCTAGCATACAGTCCGTCCTATAATGAATAGATTGGGTGTAATAAGATCTTATATTATAGGACGAAGGGAGTAGGTGATACAAGATTTCATGGAGTGAAAAGAAGTGCTAATCTGAGAAGCAAGCTTACCGGTCTGCCATGTCAGGAGGAATCCACCACTGATGAGCTGCTCGTAGTTGCTCGCGTTCGCCATGCCGTGAACGCCCAGCACCGGCACAACGGTTGCTTCGCAGCCCTCCATATAGTATCTGGCATAGTCGTCCGTAGCATCGTAATGCCCTCCTGCGCGCACAAAGGCATTGCTCCTGTTCCCGCATCTTATCGGCACCATCGCCCTGTCTCGACGTGCCACCATCGCCGCCGCCGCCTTGGTGCAATTGTACAAGATGAGGTTCAGGTTGACGGGGTCGACCCTAAACAGGACGCCCAATTGGTCGGAGGCGTTCCAGCTTGGGACATGGCAACTGTTGGTGTCGTGCAGGTGATTCCGCTTGTATAGATCGACGACACACAAACTCCATTGCTCGTAGGAGATGCCGGTTATTTCAAAACCGTCGTCCACAGAGCTCCGAAGAATTGGAGTGCGGTTGCTACGGCAAGTGACTTCAAAGCCCAAGTGGCCACATGATCTTCCCGTCTGGTCGTCAACGAGCCAGAATGGGTGGGAGATGGTGTAGTTGCTGCATCTCTTGGCCGAGCAGCCTTCGCCCTTCTGGTCGTCGACCGCCACGATCATCAGTGGCAGCCACCAAACGTACGCCAAGAACCAGCAACGCCGAGGAGGCATCGGACAACGCCGAGGAGTCATGGTTTTGGGGGGCTGGGGACTGCTGTGAGGTGCGAATGATATATGTGAACGAGCGAATAGCCGTGCAATGGCGGGCGTATTTGACAGGGAAATGGAGGCAACCTATCATCGTCCACAAATCCCCCGAATGATCACTTTGACGGGTAAGGCATGACCACCGTGAGCCCCTGATGTGATGGGGACCAAGATGCTTAGTCAGATTCTTTCGGTTCCGGCTACATTGTGCTCTTGTCGTCTATCTAGTAGACTCTTGTCTCAGCATAACATTCACACTTGTACTGGGCTGGACAGTTTAGAAATTGCGTGCAGAAGTCCAGTTCAAACTAATTAATAGCTTCAAAAACTATTTTTATATTGTGGGATGGAGGTAGTAGATCCAGATAACTTTAATTTATTTTGCGGTATTATCTTTTGTTATGTGCAATTTGGCTGAATTAGAAATAACGAATTCTACAAGGACATATAAAACATCAAATACATACAAGTACAATTATTAGGGTCTTTCACGGCATAAAATATTTTTTATTGAAACTAATTCCAAAATATTGTGTAGAATAAACCGTTAGATCCTTAGCCACTAGGCCCCATGGAGATTTCACCGTTGGCTTTTCTGGTGATCTTTGTCGAATAAAGTTCCTCGAGTTCTATACAAAAAGAAGTCCCCGGGCTGATTTTTTTCTTTTTGAGAAATCTGCTAGACTTTATTCATCAAGTGGTATAGAAACTGGTATTACGTTTGAATCATGTCGCTGACCCAACCAAAGGTGCTGTCCTTGATCCAACGTAAGAGCATGCCAAGCTAGATGCTAGATTATGAGACTCAACATTTGAGCTCCTAGATTCATCAGTAAAAGTACAAGAAGTAAAAGCATTCTACAGTACAGTATCATCAATCAGAATATTTCAGGGTCAAGATCTGGCCCTAGCCCAGCCCAATATTGTTTTCACCTCTAGACAATCTCTTGTGCCGGCGCCGAGGTTAATGAAGCACCATAATCCACGTTGAATCCTATTTGGGGCATTTTGCGCC